GAGCATCTCCGCCACTAGGAACGAGCATCTCCGTCGCATACGAACGCCGCCGCTGCATACGAATGCCGCCGCTGCATACGAACGCGCGTCCTCTTGCTGGGAAGGACGCGAGTCTGTTTCTGTTTTCTCTCCCTCCGCTGCATCTTTGCTGCATACGAACGCGGTCTGTCTACGTGAGTGCTACTTCTCACTCTAGCATTTTTTGATTTTTTAGTCTGTTAGTGTTATTCACAATTTATATACTTAGTCTCTTACTCCTAAAATTAGCAAGATGTCTGAAACCGGTGGTGGCTCAAAGTCTTCAAGCAATGCAGTTTCTTCTTCCAGAGCAAGGAAAAATGCCCTTGAAACCGGTGATTTAGATCTTGTTTTATGTTTTTGATTTGTGGACCTATGTGTTTTTGACTTTTTGTTGGTGTTTTCAACTTTTTGTTGTTTATGTATGGTTTAAGATTTGTATTATGACATTTTATTGTTGTTATTTGACTTATTTCAGACTTAGAATGTTGAAATAGTGATATCATATTGTGTGTGTTCATGTTTTTTAATATCTTTTAATATTAGGCAGACTCTTACGAGTCTACGAGTCGAGTCTATGAGAGCTCCACGAGTTTGTGTAGACTCTCGAGTTTGACAACCTTGTTCACAATTTTTTTTTTCATGATTTCTCTTTCCTAAATATTAATATAGGTGCCTCAAACCATTCATAAGATCAAACACTTAAAGCTAAACTTGATCTTAATTTTGGTAGAAAGCAAAGACAATTATCTACAACTTTTATATTGACCTCAAGAGTTAATTCTATCATCTACTAATTTTAAAAATTACAAAACCTCAACATTTCAACATAAATTTGATTGTTTGACCTTTATTCACTAATTCGACCATAACTTGATTTATAGATCTCCTTTTTAGATGATTCCAATGACATTGAAAGCTAACATTCAAGGCTACAATTCCTATGAAGACCACAAAATATAATTCTAACATTATCATGCTTGATGCAACATTTTTTTGCACTTGGTATAGAGAAGACAAAACCTCTATTTGTTGCACCTATGCCTAATGTGACTAATGTCACATCCAGCATGAAACCTCGTTGAAACAATGTTAAACGACACCCAGAGCAACCCATTTGACATATATAGTGCGATACTAGTTTGTGAGAAACTTACAAAATATATGAAAATCACATAATATGACTCCAAAACTCCAAACCAATTAGTAAAAGTCATCATCAAAGCTTGATACTACTCTATTATACCATTAATTACTAAAATCCAACCTCTATTTTATGTATTCATGCGATTAACATCAATCTTTGTTGTCCATAGATGCTGAATACACAAACTGATCCAAACTCCTAAGGCATGCAACGTACTGTCCTAAAGGACTTATCCATTAACTCCATACAAGTCCCCTAAAATACAATAGGATCATACCAATAATAGATTGAGGATGCACAACTAACAAGTTCTTAACCTAGAAAAAAAGAGAGAATAAAGAAGAGAGCAATGATCAATATCTTTGACTCCTATTGATTCTCAGTATTTATAGAAAGAGAATATTAACCGTTGTGACTATAATTAATTACGAGAATTAAAACTAATTAATTTTAAAATATTTGATAATTAAAATTAATTAAAACTACAACAGTTAGATTATAATACCTCATTAAAATCGATATAAATTATATTCTTAAACATATGATTAATAAAATAATCATTTTGAATTTAAATTTAAATTCAAAATAATTTCACAAATTAATTAACCTTTTGAAATATCTCAAAATATACAACAATTTTCATGTTGCTCTATAAATCAAGGGTTTCTTACATGAATTACAAACACTTGTGAATTCTCAAACAATTCAAATTACACGAAATTAACTATACATATATTTCAAATATCACGTATAATGCACATAAGAAGAGTACAAAACACAAATTCATAGATTACAAGATAGAATTGAGATTTCTCCCTCACAACATAGAAGAACAAATAAGAGATTGAGAACCAATTTCAGTACCTAACAGTTATCATACACCCAGAGCGAGACTATTTAATCCTCTTTACCTTGACGAATAGGACACAAATCTCTAGGATGAACTTCAGTGATAGATCTTTGGTTCTTCCAATTATTCAAAGCATAGAGCGTACAAGAGAAAATGAATGTGAGAAGTGTACACGTAAAACCTATTGTAATCCCTCTTAAAACTCTCCAACCCATATTTTACCTTTAGGTGGTCTAATAACCATGGTTACATTTTCCTTAAAATATTTAAAACTTATAAATAATATATAAAATAAACATATTTTTTCAACACAATTATAAATAAAATACAATATATAAAATAATTATAATAAAAACACATATTTTTCTTCAAATACTTATTATAACAAAATATCATAAAAATACATATTTCTCTAATAAATATTATAATTTTTTTTAAAAAATATTTACTATTTAATTAAAAACACTTATAATTATTAAAAATTTCTAAAATATTTTATAAAACTCATTTAATTAATTAAAACATTATGAATAGTGATTTTATTCCAATATTGTTCTATTTTTTAGTTTTTAAATTATACTCTCTTAATCCTATGATAAATGTTGTGTTTGAAGAAAATATATGTTTCAAAATAAGTGTCATATTAGTTTTTAAATATAATATTAATTACTTTTTTATTCATGTATCTCATAATATTATTTAGAAAGTCATATGTTGTATTGTATCATTTCTAGGAAAGATAATTAATCATAAGGTTAATTGTGTAAAATTATTATCCTTTTTCATTTTATTTATTAGCCTTTTATTGTGTACGTGTAAAATAGTCTAGCACGACACTTGCTATGAGATGAAAGGAGTAATATTTTTAATAAAGTACAATTATTAAAAATAAGTATAAAAGTAAAGTATATATCGTATTTATGTATCTCTATGTATTTTGTTTAGAGCTAATAAAAAATAAAAAATAATAAAAATAATATAAGTTACAAAATATAAATCAAGTTAGATAATATATAATTAAAAAGAGTAAAATAATCTTAAACAAAATTGAAGATAAAATGTGGTTACTTAATTATTGATAGAGTGGATAATTAATTTTTTTATAAATAGTTTTTTCTTCTATATTACCTTTAAGAGATATAATAATGGAAAAAAAAAATATAATAAAGAAGTATATATGTCTAAAAATGTGAAAACCAAAAGGCTTAATAAAGTATAATTATTAAAAATAAATTATAAAAGTAAATTATATTTCTTGCCTCAATGCATTTTGTTTAAAACTAATAAAAAAATAAAAAATAAAAATATATAATAGAGGTTACAAAATATAAATCAAGTGAGATAATATATAATTAAAAAAGAGTAAAATAATCTTAAACAAAATTAGAGATAAAATGTGGTTACTTAATTATTGATAGAGTAGAAAATTAATTTTTTTATAAATATTTTTTCTTCTATATTATGTTTAAGAGATATAATGGTAAAAAAAAATTATATAATAAAGAAGTGTATATGTTTAAAAATGTGGAAACCAAAAGGAGGTATCCCTTTATATATAGTATAAATAATTAATATATATTATTTAAATAAATTATATTTGTAAAAATATTTTTAATTATTTTAATTAATATTTTATATCTGTTAGTCATTTTAGCAAATTCGAACTGATCCAAACCAACCCAACGAGTTGAATTTTTTCAATATTTGAGTCATACTTAATTCAATCTGATCAAAATCCAATACTGTACATATTAGGTAATAGATTTTGTATTTTCAACTCACGATTCAATTCAATCATATAATAATAATAATGATAATAATAATAATAATAATAATATTTAAATGATTATTTGCTCAAGACAATACTCTTTGTCACTTTTACTTAAGAACAAGTTTTATATTTTTAGGCTGATAGCATTATAATAATATGACGTATTTATTTTAAATTTTATTTTATACTAATTAATATTGATTTTTTGAGTTGATAATTATAATGTAACAGATTAATATTTTTTTAAAAAAATTTAGTTTGTATCATTGTTTACTTTATAGGTTAATAACATTGTATTTGTAGTAATATATTAAGTGATTTACATTTATTTTGAAATACTTAAATTTTTTTAAAAATAAATGAATTTAATTATATTGACTTGATTAACCTAATTTAACCCAACTCATTTGTAATTGAGTTGAGTTGGGTAGGGTTTTTAAAAAAATTGCACAAACTCAGCCTAACTCAATTTGTAAAATTTTAATTGAGTGGGATAATGAACCCATCCAAAAAATTGCACAAATTGATGAATAATCATTAAAACATTTTATATATTGATTTGAATTAATAAAATAAAATATTAAATAATTTTAATTTTTTTAAAATTTATAAACTTTATGTATTAAATTTTTTTTTTAATTTAACAGTTAAATCGTTAAAATTTAATATAAAATATAAATTATTAAATAAACTAAATTTAGGTAAATTTATTTTTAAAACAAATAGATCCCTCGTATATATAATTTCTAAACATGAAATCCTATTAAGTTAAAAATATTGTTTTTTTACTGCAACACTGTATTTACTTGGCAACAAATAAAAATATTATTATTTTAAATCGATATGGTAAGAAGTTATCAATTTTTAAAATTTCAAATTTCATATCGATTTTGGATATAAATTTCTGTCAACAACACCGACATCGATTATCGTTAAGATGACTACTGTTTTTTTACAAAGTCATTGTATTGACATACTGTCAAACAAGTTAAGCAACACGTTTTTTTTTCTTCTTTTTATTAAAAAGTTAATGTGAATCGAGTTGGAGTTCATCAAATTTAAGTATGAAATCCAATATATGAGTCCGTTACTTAATAATTGAATCAATCTTCAATAGTCAGTTTGTAACACGTTTTCTTTGATGAGATGCCAAAATGCACCTAACACTTTTTCATTTGCAAATGCAATCGTTACCATATAAATGTAGCTAGCTAGCTAATTGGTTCAACTCACGACACGAGTATCTATCAGTGCTGCCTTGGCTTTCACATATTTTGTTTGCCATGGGAGTACATTTCGAGTCGTGCATTTTTTCTTTCAAACCTCAAATTATTGCAACAAAAGCTCATCTTTCTCAAAGCTCCAACCATGTCAAACGTGATTCTCTTCATATTGCCAACAAATGGAACATTGTTCCAGAAGAAAGTTCTAGGGAAAAAGTAAAATCTGTATGTTCAAATTTTACTACTGTCCTTCTAATCTTCTTGTTAGAACTTGAAATGGATAACCAACACACAAACATATATACCATCAAAGCTTGAACTAATTCCTTATTTCCTTTGGCAGGTAGATCTATGCATTAATCACTCAGAAAAACTGGAGGTGGTGAAGAATGAATTTAGGAATACTGTGGCTGAAAATTCATTCAAAGGTTTGTACATGGTTGATGCCATGCAGCGTCTAAATATTGATTACCACTTCCAAGAAGAAATTGAAGCATTCCTATGGAAGCAATATGTGAATTCTAGTACTATTGCGGCTGGTTATGGTAATGATATTCATGAGAGTGCACTTAGCTTTAGGCTATTGAGACAACGTGGTTACTTTGTTCCCACAGGTTAGTTTCTAATCCCCTATAAAAAATGTTTTTTCACGTGCCATATTTCTTATACCATATTTCATATGCACCCACTTTTATGCTAAAATCCATAAAAGAATGTGTGGTTATGAGAAATTATTATATAGGATCCTGACCAATATTTACAATACACAATTGGAATTTATTAATTATTCCTTGTAAGGTTAAAAAACTCTATAACATGTAATGTGGAAATTAACGGGGACTATAACTTATAACATGACATGTAATGTGTGAAAAATACTATATATTCTTCTCTCCTCCCCTTTCCTGCCAAAGTTTTAAGAGTGATTGATTTCCCTTTTGATGTTGGAAGATTAAGATGTTTGTTCATTTTAAACATGGCAGAGGTGTTTGACTCGTTCACAAACAAGGAGGGAAAATTCAACCCAAAACTAGGTGAAAACATCAAGGGAATGATAGATTTATATGAAGCCTCACATTTAGGCATAGAAGGGGAAGACATACTTGCTGAAGCTGCACAATTTAGTGAAAAGGTCTTGAAGGAAAGGGTGGATGGTATTCATAATCACGAAGCCATGTTTGTGAAGAGAACCTTAGAGCAACCTTTTCACAAAAGCTTGCCCATGTTTACCGCTAGAAATTTCTTTGGTGATCTTCATGGCACCAATATATGGTTAGGTTCCTTAAAAGAACTAGCCAGAATGGATTTCAGTTTGCTGCAATGCTTGTACCATCTAGAGATTGCACAAATTTCCCGGTATGTAAATTTAAAAACAAACTTAAGTGCGGTTAGAAATGTTCTTTAATTAGAATTTGAATTTTGCATCAATAATATATATTTGCATTTAATACATGAGAAGGGAATCATTTATTCAGAGAATAAATTTATCAAGACTTACACCATTTAATAACTTATATTTTACGTCAAATTTTAATAATTTAATCGTTAAATTTAAAATTCTTAATGTATAAATCAAATTTATAATTTTTAAAAATTTTTGAAAATCATTTGATATTATATTTCATTAATTCAAATCAACATATAAAATAATTTTATGATTATCCATTAATTTAAATTAATGAAATAAAGTATTAAATAATTTTAATTTTTTTTAAAAATTTACAAATTTAATCTATACATTATAACTTTAAATTCATGATTGAATTATTGAAATTTGATATAAAATATTTATTAAACGAATTTAGTTTAGATAAACTTAAATCCCTTTTTCTTAATATATATATCATTAATATACATTTACGTATATTATAAATGCAAAAATTTAATTCATAAGAGAATAATATCAATTGCATTTGAAAACTCCAAATAAATTTTCTCCAAAATGTAATTCAATTAAATTTGATGGACTAGTTTATTTTCTCTTTACAAAAGCCTAGTTCTCATTAGTTCAATTGTTTTGCAGATGGTGGACAGAGCTTGGTTTAGCGAAGGAGTTAAAGCATGCGAGAAATCAACCACTCAAATGGTACATTTGGTCATTGGCATGCTTTGAGGATCCTGCTTTGTCAGAGGAAAGGGTTGAACTCGCAAAACCAATATCTTTAATCTACATAATAGATGACATTTTCGATATTTATGGGACTCTAGATGAATTAACTCTTTTCACTGAAGCTGTTTGCAGGTAAAATACTAAATACCAATCACTAATTTTTAATTAATGAAAAGAAATTAAAAACAATGATTAATTAATGACTGTTGAATAATGCAGATGGGATATAACAGCTACTGAACAACTACCCGATTACATGAAGACATGTTTCAGGGTTCTCTATAATCTCACAAATGAAATTAGCTCCAAGGTCTATCAGAAGCATGGGTGGAATCCCATAGACTCACTAAAAAATGCGGTAATTAGTTAAAAGAACACTCACAAAGCTTCTTTAATTATTTGCATATTGGCTCAATTTTGATTAGTTTTAGCATATGAAACTTTTCGATGTAAAACCTTACTACATTAAGAGTTTAAGACATTTTTAAGGTTTATAAGTTCTACACAATGTACATGAGAGAGCTTTTGAAAAAACTGACACTTTGCAGTTTACACAAGAAGTTTACATCACTATATTTTCCTATTTTATTTTATTTATTTATCAAGAACTTTATCCGAATTAACTCATATGTGGTGTTGATTATCATAGAACGTAAAATAGATTGTTCATTTTTCTGCAGTGGAAGAGTTTGTGCAAAGCCTTCCTAGTTGAAGCACAATGGTTTGCCTCAGGGACCTTTCCCTGTGCTGAAGAATACTTGGAGAATGGGATAGTAAGCTCTGGAGTGCACATTGTGATGGTTCACGCTTTCTTTCTATTGGGTCATGGATTAACCGCGGAAAATGTTCAGATAATAGACACAATCCCTCGCATCATTTCTTCCCCTGCAACAATTCTTCGACTTTGGGATGACTTGGGAAATGCAGAGGTAACGAATTTCATGTGGAAATGTCGTTAACTAAGGTTGAAACTTGAAAGCATGACAAATGCCTCCACTAAAGAAATACTAAAGTCACTTTAACACTTTTTTTAACTTAATATTTTCTATCATTGGTTAAAAATTATAAATTTTAATAAGTCCTATCATTAAATCAAAAAAGATATTCATTAAAAATTAGATACCCTATCCGTACAATTTATGATTTTCATTAAATTTTGATTATTAATAATAAAAGTGTTAGGAAGCGAGTATTACTGTGTTAGAGTGTCCTGACTCGGTGAAAGATACTATTTCAGTGTTACACACAATTTTGTTGTTTTTGATAAGCATAGAACTATTTTTGTGATTTTGTGAAGGACGAAAATCAACAAGGTCACGATGGATCGTACGTGAAATGTCTCATGATGGATCAGCCAGCCTATACAATGAGAACAGCAAGAGAGAGGGTAATGAGTAAGATCTGTGATGCATGGAAGAGTCTAAACCAAGAGTGTCTGTTTGGTTGCAATTTCCATTCAGCATTCACTAAGGTCTCACTCAATCTTGCAAGGATGGTACCATTGATGTATAGTTATGATGACAAGCACTCTCTTCCAGGGCTAGAGCAGCAAGTCAAGTCCTTGCTTTGTGATAATGTTCTTTAAATTATATCTAGTACAATAAATGGCCAATTTAAGTCTTTAAATTGTCACTGCTTGTCAATTTAGTTACTGAATTTAACTAAATTCAAAATAATATTCTCCAAAATTATAAACTGCCATTCATTTTAGCCTTTTTTTTTTTCTGTTAAGTGACGTTTATTTTTTATTTTATTTTTTAATATTCTAAAAAATATAAACATAATATCACTTTAATCACTAAAATTGTAATTTGGTGCCATTTTAGTTCATAATATCTATTTTTTTTTAATGATTTTTATGATATTTATTGCTAACATATATATAACTTATCATTCACTGCAAGAAAACTTGTCTTTAGAGACTAAATTTCCAGTCTCCAAATTAATAAAATCAGTTACTAAATCAATAAGTGACTGAATTAGATACCAATTGTAGAAAGTAGCTAAATTACTGGTTGTTAATTTTAGCTACCAATCTAGAATCCGATTTAAAAACTAATTTAATGACCAATTTTTTTATGACCGATTTTGTGACTAATTTTATAATGACCAACTTAGTAACTTATTTTACAATGACCAATTTATTGACCAATTTTTAATGACCATCTCATTGACCAATTTTATACTGACTGTTTTAATTACTAATATTATAGTAACCAATTTAGATACAAATTTTGATAACAACTAATTTAGTAACCTATTTTATAACGACAAACTTAGCAACTTATTTTGTAATAATCAATTTAGTGACTGTTATAATAACCAATTTTAAAGTGACCATTTTAGTGACCAAATTTTAAACTAATTGAATTATTGACCCATTTTTCTATGACTCAAAGTGACTGATATAATACAAAAAGAAAGTATTTCTTTCATATTTATTATCTTCTTTATTCAAATTCATCACATACATAACTTCAATTATTTTTCTAATAAAACATAATAATTATTTATTTACTTCACATGTTTATTCTATGTTAAACTATTATGCAAAAAATCAACATTCGCTATATACTAACATGAAAATTAAATAATTAAATTTTTTAATTTTTTAAAATTGCACATAATATCCTCCAAACATACAATCTTAACTGTTTGTATTTATAATACTCAAAAAATCACTTTCAATTACTTTCTATAAAAATTCATTTGATAATACTTAGTTTTAATATAGTAACAAATTATCTTTTAACACTTCCAGTAAACATCAATCAACCAGATGTCTTTCTATCTTTCTTTCTCCCAAAGATAAGAACAACTTAAGAAAAACACAAAAATTTAGAACACTTTCAACAACGAATATATGCAAAATAAAAATAAAAAATTGTTCTAGTTTATAACAAGAATTTATTGCAGAATATAATGTCTTCTAGAGCAAGATGTTGATTTCCTTTTTAGTCATCTCCCAAACATGGTCTCTTGCATCAGCCAAAGCACTATGCATGTCAAGTATATTCAGATCCATTAAAATAAAATAAAAGGTAAAACTAAGCAAAAAAGTAATAGTAATAGCTTAGAAATACATCACCTGCCCAAATTTTGTAAGGACGTTACTGACAATGTTTAAGGAAGAGACATTTACATCATCATTGGACTTGTTGACTCTTCTTTATTGCTGTACGCCTGTACCAATAACAAAATCCCGAAATTGTAGTTTATCACCTATAAAAAGAGAAGCAAGTAATGACTATAGTTTTCATTCCTATTTTATCATCTCTTCCTTTTTTATATATATCCAGAGGTTGAGAGGTACCTTTCTTCAAAATAAGGACATATCATTTGGAGTTTTAATTTAAAGAATTACCATAGTTGCGATTTACCATCTACTAAATTTGTCATGCAAAAAAAAGTCACTTATTAGTATTATAAGAGTCTATATTAGTGAAAACTTCACATATGCATAATTTGTCTAATTTGTTGTTGCAGGTGGGACAAAGAGACTAAAATAAATATTTGTAAAATTATTAAAAATATTAATTTTAAATTTCAAAAACTAAAAATAAACTTATTATGAGAGATTAAATTTATATTTAACCAAGTTAAAAACTTTACATGAAAGCTTATTAGCATTTAGATTACAAAAGAATTACATGTGTGAATTCTCTATTGATTTTATCAAATACTAGCTATTATAGGAGAACTACGTGGGTCTATAACGTTAAAATGTCAAAAGTTAGCCAAAAGAAGATTCCACTTTAATTTTTTTCCAAAGCGTTTCTTCAGAATAGTGAGTAAGCAATATATTTTCTCAGCATAGTTTATTTTCATTGTACAACTAATTTGAACCAAACTTCATAGATCAGTCTAATCAAAGCAAATTAAGCAAGAATACTAGTCAACTTGTGACACCTTGTACTAGGAGAGATGTGGAACAACTAACAGAATTCAAATTAAAATATAACATTGGCAGAGTTTAACAAAACATACCTGCTTTTTAGTAGTTTCTGCATTTTGTTGCAATGTCAATGCTTGACTAGAAGGTTGCATCATCTGCAATTGTTGTTGAAGCTGGAAAAGGCTTGCTGAGATGAATGAAAGCTTGCTTGCAAAGTCTGTGTCTGTTGTGACAACATTTGAGCTAATGAAGGGGATTGCTGAAGAGGCTAAAGTGGTTGTTGCTGCACAAAGAGAGGAACTTGTTGATTTGGAGTAGTTAATGCAATATATAAGTGACAAGAAAGAAGAAATTGTTGGAGTAAAAAATCAGGATCAACAAAAATACAAAAAAAAATTCTTACTCTCATTGTGTAGGTTCATTAAGTCCATTAATAGCTTCCAGAGCCATATCTCTCTAAGAGTATTTAGCAAAACCACATCCTTCAATCAAAATATGAGAAAATATTATATATTCAGTATTGACATTAAACACACATACAGAGACACAAAAATGTAAGCCTAGACATCAGCTCCAAATCTGCCCCAAATCTAAATTCAAATCCACAAGAATGCAATCAAAACACATAATGGCACAATACATACCCACAATATTTGCAGCTTATGACCGTGTCGAATAATTGATTTAAGCTGAAGCACATTGACATCAGCATAGCTCAAATTCAACGAAGTAAGATTCGCGCAGAAGTATTTACATGAAGCAGCGCCATATAACCCTCTGTATGTCCCTGAACCGAACAAAATTTCCAAATTCAACAGAAAAAATTTTATAGAGAACAAATATTTTATAACAATTACTACTTTAGTAAAAAATAAGTTAAGAATTCAAGTAATATTTATTTAATATAACTTGAGATATAGTTTTCTTTTTTATTTCGTCAAAAGTAGCTACAGTAGACGGTCAAGAATGGATTTTGATTTATGACTCCAAGACACTCCTCCACGTAGAAGTACTTTGGATCTAAAGCAGGGAGAAAACACAGGTTCACTGTTTGAAGAAACTCTTAACAATTAGTTTTTTTCTTTTTTTTTCAATAACACCATAACTATTTATGGCTTCCCAATTTTTATATATTTTTCTCTCCACAATGCAACCAAACGAAATTTTGGGACAAAATCAAATTGATCTATATATAGTGAAGCTTGGAGGAACTTTAATTCTAATTTCCCACCCCATTTCAGTTGAAATCATATACATATTTTTCTATTATAGAGCAATAACAAAACACTATGAGCCATTTTCTTTCTAAAAAATGCAACAATAATAAAAAAGAAGTACAATTTGCAATGTGAAATTCACATAAATTAAAAAAGAAAAAACATAATGAGAAATTATGTATAGAAAATTCCATAAAGCTTAACTAACTATCTGATTTTGTGTGTGTAGTATGAGTTTGTGAACAAGCTGAACCTAGACTCTGCAGAACTTGGCATTCGCCTCCAACAGATTTCGATTCCTAGGTCGCCTCCGTTTCCTCTGTTTTCACATTCTCAACACAAAAACAAAGGTATGTTTCTCAATTTCACTCTCTTTCGATCGCTAGCATAGTTCATGCAAAAATCACAAAATCAAATCCACAAACCAAGAACACCACGCGCACGCACCTCTGACGGCGATTGCGCCTCGTTTACGATCTTTTCTTGTCCTTCTCCCTGAACGTTTGCATCGAAGAAACTCTCTGTTCAAGGAGAAAAAAAAATCAACATCGAGAAATCGAAAAGGAAAAGTGTTGAAACCGCTTCATTTTGCTGCAAGAGAAATAAGTTTGAGAGAAAAAAATCCCTACTAATTACCTATTTTTTTTAGTGAATATAACACAATTAGATACTAAAAAGAAATTAAAATGAGTTAATAATGACTAAAAAATCAATTATTATTTACTAGTGTATTTTAATTAGAGACCAAATATTTTTGTGTCTAAAATAATTTAATAGACTGAAATATTAGTTTCTTATTATATTTTTATTAGAGACTGATACATTGGTTTCTAATAAAAAAACCAATTAGATATTGAAAAAATGGTATGTAAATTGAGTCAATAGTGACAAAAAAATCAATCTCTAGTAATATTTAAATTAGAAACTAGAAAATTTAGTCTCTAATTGTGGTGCATCTTGAGACTAAAATATTAGTTTCTAAAGTGTTTTAATAGTGACCAATAATTTTGTCTCAGATTAGATTTTAATTAGAGACTAAAAAAGTTGTATCTAATTAAATAAATAATATTTTTTTAAACTATTAGTTACTAAAAGTTTGGTCTCTGATTACATTAAAAATATTAATGATAATGGAGATTGAATTAGAGACCAATTATAGTCGATCTCTAAAATAGTATTTAAATAAGTTGCTAAAGTGACTATATAAATTTAGTCTCTAAATCAGTTTCTATTTAATGAATTTCTTGTAGTGATTAGATCGAAAGTTCCTTGTCCCTAAATTATATTTATAAAATTTTATATTAATTCAAGGTGATTTGATATCCCATTCTTATAGGATAACATAATATATACATTTTAAAATATACTAAAATATGAAAGTTTTGATTAGTTTCAAATTATTGTTCAATTTTAACAAAATTTGATATAAACATGTAATGTGATATGAAGTTACAATTTAGCGATTGGATTGACAAGATTCACATTTAATTGAAAGTTATTGAGTGATA